ATAATATAAGGGTAAAAATGTCTTTTAATTTTAAAAAGCTGTTTTTGCACAAGTTATAAGTAAGTTTTAGTTTTTTTTTAATTATACTTAAAAAAATAACTTTTGACTCATAAGTTAAATTAGCCAAAAGCTATTACAAACAGCTCCTTAATTTATAAATTAACTTATCATACTTATAAGCTACTTTTTACCTCTTTAAGTACCCCACCAAACAGGCACATAATTTCTCTAGCTTATTATGTTCACTTATTTCTAAACATTTAACTTTTATAATTTCTTTTGACATCACAGAAATCAAATATGTCCAAATTAATTGATCTTTTACGATGGTCTTTTGAAACTAGTAAATACTATTATCATCTCGTGACATAGTAACCCAAATAATATGGTCAAAATTATCGCTAGCTTCTTCTATAAAAGCTTGTTGTGCACGACTCGAGTTACTAAAACTGTTTTTTCTGCCTCTCTCATTTCCCATGTCCTAACTGCTGGCACCTCATTTTTCATTTCCATTTTTTATATCTTTGAACCTTTTTACCACTAAATCACTTGTTGGCAATATATAGTCTTTAAAACATTCTAACAATAAGAAAAAATGAGGTCACAATAGGAATCAGGTATTTATTTCAAATGTAATAAGTGAACAGAATAATATATAAATAAATTCTATATATTAAATGCATTTTCTAAGGCAATTTCATTGTTCACTTTTTTGTCCTCTACCATTCACTTTTCTCGTCATCTTCCTACTTCATTCTTTTTGTGTTGTAAGTTCTACACTTTCTCTTTTCCTTCTATTAAAATAGGTTTGAAATATGGTTTGTTATGGTTGCGATTTTCTGTTAGTTGACCTAGTTTGTGAATTTGTGTGTTTGTGATAGATGTTGTATTACGTGTGATTTGTGATTCATTTAGGGGTTCTTATTAAAATTAGTAGTTTTCTTTTTTTTTTTTCATTATTTAAATATTCTGAGTTGTTTGGCTGGTTTTTGCCATATATATGGAATATTGTTGCGTTTTGATTTTTGTTTTTTTTTTTCCTTCTAACTGCTTTTTGCTAGAGCCTTTCCTTTTGGTTTCTTAGACTAAATAAGTTCTATATGTCTTAGGTCCTGCTAATAATGAATTGTCTATTGTTTTGTTGAGTAATAAAATAAATGGCAACGGCACATGGGATATGGTGATAATGGAGTTGAATATGGCCTATTTAATGGGACTTCTCTTAAAACAAATATCAAGAAAGATTATACTTTGTGTGTGAGGCACAATCACAATAAAAGAATGATTTCAAAGAGTTAGCAACATTGTCAATCTAAAATCCAAAAAAGGTGGAATTCTTTGAATCTATAGACCTTATGTATGAATTTAATGCTACAGTTAGGAGCATGGAAGTGATGCCTCAAAATTGGAACTGGGATGAGAAGTGAAAGATTGGGCCGTTTGGTCAGAAGGAAGCCAATTCTTGTGGAACCCAAATGATGGGGACTCGGCCCCTTGTCGACCCCCATGGAACTGGATAGGAACTCAATTTCTTGGACTCCTATGCCGTTCATAATTTGTCTTATTGACAACTCCCCTCCTTTAATTTGCCCCTTCTTATCTTCAACCTCTGTCATCTCCCTTCAGCCTCCTCCGCCAACAACGTTCCTCCGTCTTCCTCAACCTTTGTCGCGTCCACATCATTTCTTCTCTGGTGGCCATCCAAGCACAACCTTTCCTTGCTCAGTCGCAATAAGCTGTCAGCATCCACATCATTTCTTCTCTGGTGGCCATCCAAGCACAACCTTTCCTTGCTCAGTCGCAATAAGCTGTCAGCATCGTCGCCCAACAAATTGAAATGGCCATTTTCTTCCTCATTTGTTTTTCCTGTGGTTGTTCTTCTAAGATACTCGCGTTAAGCTTCTCAGGTTATTAAATGTCGATTTCTTTCTGCTATCTCCATTTGTGTCTGAAATTTTCTCTTTGCTCTCTCTTTCTTCCCCAGGTCAGTGAAATTTCAAGGTTCTGGTGTATCGATGGATCTCTAAATCGACAACAAAAGCAGTCATTGTGGGTGCCGTGAGTCATCGTTGGGTGAAGAAATACCATCGTAGGGGATGAGAATCTGAGTTTCCAGAGGGCAGCGATGAAGTCTTCTCTACCAGATTTCGAATAACAGAGCAAGTTCACGGTGAGATGTTTTTGAACGGGAAGAAAGGAAGATGATTTTCTTATTATTTAAGTTTTATTTTCGCAAGATTCATCATTGTTGGTACTTGATCTCTAGTTTAATTATTTGTTGACGGATTGTTCTTGCTCATTGTGGATGTTTCAGTCCTAGTATAGGAATGATACAGAGGATGAAGGAAGAGACTTTTTTTTCCCCCCTTTTGATCTTTTTATCTTGAAAATACATATATAAATTTAAAATAATATGAGACTTCCATTCGCATACTAAACAACTTTAAAACTCACTCCCACTTTCAATTCCACTTCCTGTTGCACTTCCACCTCCATGATATTCATTTCCAATTCCACTCCCTCTTCCAATTCCACTCCCATTTCCACTTCCACCTACATCACCGTCAATCAAAAAGTCTAGCCAATTATCAAAAGACTGTGCATGAACTGCCAATGGATTGAAGGCAGTGGGATAACAGGAGGGCTTGGCAGAAGCTGCATTGTTGGTGGCAGTCGAGTGATCGATTCTTTTGCTCAGAGATTCGACCTTGGCGGACAGCTCGCTCACTTGAGCTCGAAGAGCAGAGATTTCATGGTGAAGTTTTGAGCAATGTTCTGGGCTGCGATCGGCGCTTGTGAGAATTTGCTGAGGCTCTTTTTTGAGCTGAGCCACTTGAGCCCCCAGATCGTCCAGATGCTTCTGCATTCTCATTCTCATCCGACGTTGCCTTGCTACCTTGCGATTCGATATCATCCTCTTCCTCTTCCCCAGATCCTTCAGAACCTGTGAATCCTCCTCTGATTCAGAGGTGTAAGACAGAGACCACGAACCAGAACCTGTAGATGTTTCACATGACGAAAAATGAGACCCAAAAAAGAAAACAAAAGACAAATGCAGATACTACCTAAACAGAAAGACACCCAGAAAATACTGCAGAAAATAAAAGTATTATTGCAGGATCTAGCGATTAGAGATTGTAAACAGAAAACTAGCGGGGAAGACTTGGAAATCATGAAACATGGTACAATCAGCAGAGGAAGGCAACGGAGAAAGATTGAACTAAATGGGCCCTGTGCCTGAACGTGGAATTGAGAATTGACCATACACCAAGAAAAGAAGATTTTACAGAGAATTCGATTCATAAATCTCAAATATCAATACCACGAAATCACGCGTTTAAAAAAAAAAAAACTCAAAATCTATTACACCTGATGGGAAAAAAAATCGCGACTTGCATTTAAGTTTATTCATAATATCTACATTTGGACTTCCCAGGCTAAGCAGATTAAAAATAAATAAAAAGAAAAGGGGTCCACCAAAATGCGCTTAAAAAAACCTCAAAATCCACATTTAGCACCAAGCACGCGGGTACTACAAATTGGCTCGGTATGACTAACAATGATTTGAAGTTCTACTTGGTGTATACAAAATATTATATATACACATCCAAACTTTCAATACAATGATTTGAAGTTCTAATTTATATTGAGGAGTAACATCAAGCTGAGTCTTTGACTTTAGCAATGTTTTTTCGGCTTCAAATAATCATTTGCAAATTCTAAGTGGTTTAATCACAGGAACAAAATCCAAAAAGAATTAAAGAAGCATTAAATAGACTAATACAATAGACTTTGACAAAATAAATAGTGATTGGATCAATAGATCTGAATGAAAATTTTCAGGACGTCATTAATTTAATTTGTACTGAAAATAGAGCTGGCAAACATATTTTGGGCTTGGAAATTTTAATTTAAAGGCCTTGACCAGGTATTACACATAGAAGACTCATTAGGGTCAAATTTGCATTTGTGCGAAAATTACTACCTTTTTGTGTCTTAATGTTCTATTAATTGAACTACAAACTAGATATTATATTATGGGCTAAAGATACTAAGGACCACTAAATCAGTTGTTGGCAATATGTAGTCTTTAACACGTTCTAGCAATAAGAAAAAATGAGGTCACAATGGGAATTAAGTATTTATTTCAAACGTAATAAGTAAGAAGAATAAAATATAAATAAATTCAATATATTGCATGCATTTTGATATCCATCTTTTAGATATCCTAGAAACAAAGTAATAACTATGAGGTGATCATGGCAATTTTTTTTTTATATTACTACTAAAAAAGGCTGTAAATTGTTGAAGTTAAAACATGTACCTGTTTTGAGACCAATATTATTTCTCTTGACTTTATTATCAGAATCAACCACTTTTCTTTTAACTCCACAAGAACTTTCGCTTTCACTTTCCACTTGTGCAGAGTGCCAACTTGCTACTTCATCATATAGTTTCCTTTTCTAGGTTCAAGTCACTCTTAAGCAACTTTAATACCAAATTCAATCTTTCTTCATTGCTGTCAAACTGCGTTTGGTTTGTATCATTCATATGATGAATAATTTGTTTGGAATGACTTATAAACAGATTTAGAGAATATAAGGTAAGTATGTAAGAAAATTTTTATCTTGACTTATGTGAAATATGTTTATAAGTGTTTTTAATCATGAATCCAAACGACTCCTAAGAGTGTACGTACATCCATATACATGTGTTATGCACATGTGTGTAAAAACATTTACCCTATGTCTGGTGAGGTAAAAGGAGGGGAGGAAAAATTTTGATAAGTTCAATTGGAAAATTTAAAGACGTGGTGTTCTAAAATTTTGATAAAAAGAAGATGTAAGATTAACAAAAGAAGAAAATCTCATTAAAAACTTTTAATCCAATTTCTTCAATTTTTTAAATTGAGCTTTGAAATTTTTCTTCTCATCCCTTCTCTTTCATTTCCTTCATACCAAATGGGCCCTTAAAGGTAAAAACTATGCAAGAGAACGTACCTGAAATAAAGGCTTTTCCCTCACATAATTATCCAATTGTTGCATATAATTAATAACAAATATACCACAATCATGCCTACATATTCAAGAAACAGGATACGGTTGAATGCATGTTTTAATTAATTAAGTGGAAATTTTTTTTAATAAAATATTCTTAAACTCACCCATTAGGCTGTAACGGAATATTTCTCATTATTCTCGAGTAAAATTCTTTGAATGTACCATCCCCGAAGAGTCTTTCCATGGCAAGCAACTACACAAAAACAAAAGATGAATTCTAAAGAATTAAAAGATCAGTCCATACATATTATACAAATACCATAACTGTATGATGCTTACCAATTTCTGTGTGGTTTGGTCACGTTTAGCTTTATCTATAAATTGATCACATAGAGAATCCCATATTTCAATTTCTTGATTCTTCATATGAATAATGTTTAAATAATAATGTCCACATGAATCTTTTTCGACATGAACAGGGATAAATATCTGCCATGTGTGATCAAACGAATCAAATTGACATGTAGCCAAAAAAAAATCACTATTATGAATGAAATGTCAATTACAAGTCAGAGAAAAAGATAATACCTTCTCACAATCTTTCAAGTCGTCAAACATGTACGTCTCTTTCAATTTTTGCCGTTCAACAAAGTCAAGGAAGGAACTTGCATCATCACTGAGTGCTGCACTCTATAATCACATCACAAAAGAACAACTAAATATTCTGGTCGATGAGATTGTTTTAGATTCAAGAACTAACAATATAACATATATCATCCAATTGAAAAGGGAATAAGCAATCACCGAAAACATCACGGGAAGATACCAATTGACAGGTTTACTTCTCTTCCTTCTTTCAGATTCGGTCAAGATACCAGCAAAAACATCTATTATCTAAGAAAGCAGGAAAATTGAACAATAACACAATCAAGACCTTGCTTAATGATAACAAAATATATAGAATAAACGTATAAGCAAATACTCACACCCGAATCCAAATGAGTTTCTGGTCTAAGCGTGATCAACTGAGATTGAGGCAGATGTAAATGTGATGACCGAAAAGGTGTACACCTCTCACTAAAGAACATATAAGGTAAGTGATTTAACTATGCTTCAGATTAAAATACAAAATTACGCACAAACAAAAACACCAATCATATAGTTATAAGCATATGAATCTAACCTTGAATAATTCTCAAACACATATTGTATCAACTGTAAGTCAGGTTCATTCACAATATTGGAAACATAAAAAGGACCGACTTTAATCCTCTCTTGATGCATAGCTTTTTTGTCGATGCTTTCTTGTTGGGGAAACTTAATGCGTTCCCGCTTTAAATCAAGCATTCTTTCATTGAGTCTGTTATAAACTCTTGGTTTATCCATTGTTAGTAAACCTGTTTCATGCATAATAAAGCAATGAGTACATTAATTAGTCTCGAAAGTCACAACACAAATTCAAACTTCTTGACTATATGAATTAATAGTGACCATGCTATTAAATTAGGGAAAATCAATATGGGGTTCTAAGGAAAATATATATATATATATATATTTACCAAAAAGTTTAAAAACAAGTGAGCAACATTATTGGACATGTTCTATATCCTACACCAGAGCTTGTTATTACATGTTACTCACTTGTTATTAATTACATTCCTTCCTTAGTGCTTCCTAATGATTTTCTCATTACATTAACTGTCACTTAGTTCATATGAATCATTCCTCACCACAACATATGATTAAAAAAAACTGAGGAATATCTTATTTACACTTAACATGCTAGTTAGCACAATCCCCTACTAATACAATCCGGCACACGTATGAGGTCAAGAAAAAAATTCCAAAAATCACTTACTGATATTTAGGCGCAGAAATATTACAAATAACAATATTTATTTACATCCTTTTCTGATAAATTAATTTCGCACACTAGTAATGTTTAATTTCATTGATATTCACGATTCGAAGAATAACAAAATATACTGATGTTATTCATACATGAGAGACAATGGTATTTTTGTCTCTCTTAAGGAGAGATTATTACACTTTATTCCTTAGTTGGCAAAAAAAAAATGCTAATAATACCCTTTCAAGATACCAAAATATCATTCTTCCTTCAAATGAAAATAATACTACCTCCAATCTTTAATATAAGAGTTAAATACTACTTTCGGTCCTTAATATAAGAACTATGTTGACTAATTTGAGTAAATTAAGAAAACTAGTTAAGTTAGTTATTTGTAATAAATATGTGTTATTTTTTTTAAAATATTCTTGCTAATCAAGCGTATTGGCTAGAACTACTATTATTATAAGGACTACCTTGAGAAAAAAGTAGATTAATATGAGCGATAAAGTAGATTGGAGTCTTATATTTATGACCAAAATAAAAGTCAAACAAGCTCTTATATTAAAGATCTAATTTAAGAAGATTAAGAAAATTAGTTAAGTTGTTAATTGTAATAAATATATGTTGATTTTTCTAAATCATCTTCTATTCAAATTACTCATTAGCGAGATCTCTTACTATCAATAAAGATGTTCAAGAGAAAACATTATAAATTTTTCTAAAACATGGATTGAGATGTAGAACGAAATTTAATATTAAATTAGCTACACGAGCAGGTAGTATTAAATACCTTGCGAATCAAGGAGATCTTGTTTCTCGCTGGTGCCTTTGTTGGAAACAAGAGTACACGGTCGAATACCCTTGCCCTTAATTTGATTAATATGAGCTTTAATTCGATAGTTAGTTCCTGCAAATACAAATCCACAGTGATTGCACTTTACTTCGTTCTTCTTTCCTTCCAATTCAGTGACGTGTTCCCACACGTCAACTTCCTTTGGCCTTCCACCTCCTTTCCCCATTATTCCATTTCCTGCATCCACAATCTCCGATCCACTTCCAATCACACATTCAATTTAACTATGGAAACTCAAACCAAAGCGAAACTAGGAGAGAAAGGAAACCCAACTCAAAGTCTGAAACGAATAAGTAAATAAAGAGAGAGAGTTACTTACATCAGGATTTTGGAAGATAAACGCGATGATGATGTGAAGCCAGAGAGTAGAAGGAAGAAGATGAGCTCTACCAATAGCCGCGTTGACGTTTACTTGTCGGCACTTCCTTTTCGCCGTAACTTCGTGGGTGGTATGACTTTTAAACTTGTTGATTTCATAAATTTACATAAAGATATGAATTTTTAAAAACACATTTCTTCGTTTTAAAAATATTTTAACAACTTATTATCAGAAAAAAAAATATTTCGACAACTTACTTGTTATAAAATTTTTTGGTAATTAATTACATTCCCTCCTTAGTACTTTCTAATGATTTTCTCATTACATTAGCTATCACATAGTTCATATGAATTATTCCTCACCCCCAATATATGATTAAAAAAAGACTGAGGATCTTATTTATAATTAACATACTAGTTAGCACAATCCACAATTATTAATATAATCCAGAACACGTATGAGGTCAAAAAAATTCCAAAAACCACGTACTGATATTTAGGCGCAGAAATATTACTAATTTCACATTTATATTCCGGATGGAAAGAATAACAGAATATATTTATTCATATATGAGAGACAATGGTATTTTTGCCTCTCTCAAGGAGATTACCACACTTTATTCTTTAGTTGGCAAAAAAAAACCAATAATACCCTTTGAGATGCCAAAATATCATTATTCATCAAATTAAAATAATACCATTTCTAATTTTTAATATAAGAATTAAACAATTAATTTAAAAAGATTAAAAAAATCATTAAGTTAGTTAATTATAATAAATGTGTGTTGATTTTTCAGAACTATCATTTTTAATTATGTGCATTAGAACAGCTTCTTAGCAAGATCCATCACAATAAGAATGTTTAAGAGAAAACATTATAAATTTGAAAAGAAAAAAGATTGAAATCTTATGTCCTGTTTGGTATGATGGAAGAGTTTTTAATGGAAGTGGAAGTGAAAATATAAGTGGTAGCGGAAATGGAAATGAGAATGGAAGTGGATTTTAAAATGTTTGGTAGGATTTTGGCCAAAAAAAAGGGATATAATTTTTAATATGAAGTTACTGAAATACCCTTTATCCCAACAAAAAAAAAAAATCCCCCTCCTTTGCATCCACGGCCAGCCTACCCAAACCAACATCAGATAATCAAACCGGCAACAAGAGAGAGAGCACAAAATAATCAAGCAGAATCACAGTGAATGGAAAAGAACGCAGCAAACCAAAATCGAAGAATCTATCCAAAAATATCAACATATCACAATCTGAAAAATAAAAAACTAAAAAAAATCACCTATCAATTCAAAACTACAATCTGAAAAAGGAACAAAATCTCTTTCTTCCATGAACAAGGATGGTAATCTCACGGAGGAGCGTGTTTTGAGAGCTGTTGTTCCTTGCTAATTCGCTGCACAATCCGTTGATTTTTCATATCCTTCTTCAAACAGCTCTCTTGCAGTTGTGTTCTCTTTCAGAAAAGAAATCAAACCAAGAACAAGAAATCAAACCCCACCAGTCGGTCAAAGATTTGGAGTTTTGACACATGGTCCTGAGAAATCGAAGCTTGAAACAGGATCAAAGCTTCCAGGTTGCTGTCGACTCAGATCTGCAAGCTTCTCTATTGTTAGATATCCAGACCAAACCTTGCGATAGATGTGGACGAGGAAAGAGGGAGGGAACGATGGAGGAAGAATAAGATGGGATAGGGTGACAGAGCTTGCCGTTACAATACTTCGTCGTCGTCATCGTTACCGCCACTGCGTTTGACTGTCGCCGGAAGAAAGGGAAAAGCAGGCTGTCGAGACTCGAAACTGGAGAGAAGAAAGTAGGGCAGGAGGGCAAAACTGTGAATTAATAAAATATATGAGGGTATTATGGTCATACAGTTTTACTTCACGGAACTCATATCAGTTCCTGGGTATGGTCAAGGCCAAGGAACCACTTTCATCATTTTTGGTGGAGCCGAGTTCCACAAGGAAGTGGACTTCAACACACCAAACAGTCCAATTTCATAGTTCCACTTCCACTTCCAATTCCCCAGCACGAATTCCATTGCACCAAACGGGACATTATATTTAAAATCAAATTTAATATTACATTCGCTGCGGGAGGAGGTAGTATTAAATACCTTGCGAATCAAGGAGATCTTGTTTCTCGCTGGTGCCTTTCTTGGAAACAGGAGTACACGGTCGAATACCCTTGCACTTAATTTGATTAATATGAGCTTTGATTCGATTATTACTTGCTGCAAATACAAATCCACAGTGATTGCACTTTACTTTCTTCTCCTTCCCTTCCAATACAGTGACGTGTTTCCACACTTCAATTTCCTTTGGCCTTCCACCTCCTTTCCCCATTACTCCATTTCCTGCATCCACAATCTCCGATTCAATTCTAATCACACATTCAATTTAACTATGGAAACTCTAATCAAAGCGAAACTAGGAGAAAAAGGAAACCCAACTCAAAGTCTGAAACTAATAAAGTAAATAAAGAGAGAAAGTTACTTACATCAGGATTTTGGAAGATAAACGCGATGATGATGTGAAGCCAGAGAGTAGAAGGAAGAAGATGAGCTCTACCAATAGCCGCGTTGACGTTTAATTGTCGGCACTTCCTTTTCGCCGTAACTTCGTGGGTGATATTTTTGGGAAAGTTTTAGTTAACTATCACAATGAAGACTTGATAAACTTTTCCTCCCAAGAGATTCTGAAAATTCAATTCAATCCCTCTAACCCAAAATGAAATTCAATGAACAAGTAAAAGGACCATTAAACCTTTAAAATAGATAAGGTATAACTCCACATATAAAAATTTACGACAATAAATAATAAAATAACAACTCTGCATCTAAAAAATTACAACAAAAAATAGAAAATGTACAAATCTATATGTAAAAATTTACAATGAATAGTAGATTAATAATGATTATACGTTGCTAACTTTTGATCCTTCATATTTTAACTCAATTAAAACTTAATCTTTTAACTATGACTTGTTATAACTCACTTTGTGAGTTTTTAACTCTGTTAAAATTCAGTCTTTTAACTTTTTTTTTCATTTAATAAATCAACCCTAATTATTACCTAACTGTCCTATGTGGCAAGTGTATTGAGATCAGCGCCACCCACGGCTAGAACAAGTTCTCTATCACCAAGGTAAGTAGAGTCCTTATCACTATTATGGAGGTAGGGCTTTCTCGCTTGATTGCTGCCAAATCAATCCCTAAGAACTTGCATTGTTTGTTACCATCTTTTTAATACTGATTGAAAAGGGAAGTGAAAATGCCAGAAAGAATAAAAATGAATGCATGGTCTTTGGTTAAATTTGCTTTAGTAATTCTACTAATAGTTCTTTGCCTTTTTCTCGTCAGGTTTTTATTCTGCTTATGCTGATGAATATGACTACATTTCACAATGTTTTGATTTCGGCCAAGTCCTTCAACTCTTGAATCTTTTTCTAATGCCGTCTTCCACTTGTTGGAGAGAAAAACATTCTCCTTTAACTCTGAGATAGCAAGCAAGTCATGCCCTGCCCCCATTCCATCCTACCTCGGAAAACAGTGAAAGGAATGGGGCTAACAGAGAGATAAAGCATGGAGATAAAGAATTTTTTAGAATCTTTTGAAACGGAAAATTTATTAAGTTCATATTGTGGGACTTAGTTGAAATTTTTCCTATAAACTAACCAGAACCAAGTGGCGGGGCCAAAAAAATAATTATAAATCATTTTAAAAGTCAATATTGGCAACTACTTTATCCATTCCCGTCAAATGAGATGTAGGACGCGTTGACAAAAAGAGAGAGAAGTCCAGGACAGAATATTTGATGTCGCCAATGTACTAAGCACCGGGTGTTTTGTATTTTTCAAAAAGAAAATATTAATATTGAGATTGCAAATTAAGCCACGTGATACTTTGAATCATAGTCCAGTAATTTCGTTCACATTACTGGGCGCGATGAGAGCCCAAACGAAGTAATTAAATTCTGTGTAATCAAATATTCAAATTCCACCAGCGCGTGCTGACACAACTGGTAAGAGAGTTGTGTCCCTTAACCGTTGCTTCTGGGGTTCGATTCCTGGAGGGATGGGAATGGAACAAGCATGCCTAGGAGGGTCGCTCTCATCTTGAGCCCGACAGTACCCGAAGGATTAGTCATTGGGCTCGCTCCGATGGATACCCTGGTGAAAAAAAAAAATTCAAATTCCTTACCAACAAGCTATTAATTAAGATGGTAAACAGTCTCATTCTCTGTAAAGAGAAAGATAGGTTTTAATATTAACGCTCCTAACCCAACAAAAATTAGTTTCAAACCCAAAATAAAAATACTATGTTATATATAAAAACATATTCAAATTCCTTTCTTACTTGAATTTTAATTTCTTCCCCGGTTTGCACTATAAATCATTCATCATCCATCCTCACTAACTAGGCTGTTTGAATTACCCATCAGAACAAAAGGTATCAATTCATCAAAATAATTAGGCTACAACAGTTCATGGGCATGCCATATACTATCTTTAATATAAGAACTCATTAATTAATTTAAGTAAATTAAGAAAACTAATTAAATTAATTATTTACAATAAATATGTATAACAGCCTCTCTAATTAATGGTAAATAAACATTTCCAAAATGATACTTTATTTTTTAAAGATCAATATATAGAAAAGAATTAGCCAAAAATATTTAGGTAATAGTTATGATAGGAAGAATAAAACCAATCAAATAGAAACCTACCATGGCCATTAACCATTAATATCCTTAACAGAGTAGTAGCTACTATACTAGAATAGTAAAGATAGTTAATGAAATAAGAAATAATCAACACTTGATTTTTCACATATGTATCAAATCCATTCGCAATACTCTAAAATCTCAAAATACTTAATCAGTTGTAAATGGGCTAGGGCATTTGAAACCCGTCAGAATAACAGTCACTACCACCCATAACAATCGTCACCAAAATAAAAGTCACATATATGTCTAAAAGGGCTCCGCCCAACAGCACAATTTCAAAATGCAGTGGAAAAGTTAAAATTATATTAAGTATAACAAAAAAAACCCTAAAGTTTGGCAATATACATAAGTCAAAGCATTTATGACAAAACAAAAGCTATACAAAGTGAAAAGGAAAACTCAAGCCTCAGACAACTTTCTCTTGGGACCAACACCTGAACTCTTGCCTGAAAAATGTTAAATAACCACAGGATGAGTCAAATTGACCCAGTAACCACAATTCCAATTCAACAAGTATACAGGGAGTGATTACAAAATAGTTAAGCAGGCAAAGCACAATTTTAAATAACATATAAGATAAACGTCTTTACAGAACACAATATATAATAATTCAAAAAGTAACTTGCATGCACAAAACTTCATCAACCATCTTTATAACCTCCTTGTAACCTCTGATAGAACCCATGGGCTATTCATACATAACAGGATTCATCTCTCTTACAAGATTGTACCAAGCTTTCCAATAATAAGGTGTAACTCAGGTAAAAGTTACAAAGCTCATATCGGACCATGGATTCCCTTTCCTTAAAATATGAAAAGGTGTCATGTCCTTTAGGCTAACCTTTAACCTGGCCAAAGGAATGGTGATACCAAGGATCCTAAGAATGTTAAAGCCAGCCACTAGGTGCCAAGTAGCGACTATGCCACGTGGTATAAAATAGTCAAACCTCTTACAATTACATTCCAGCACCACCCAATATAGCTCTATAAGCATTTCAACTATTCAATTCTACACAATCCAATATCATAAAATATTCTTATATTCAATAATCAAATTTTGTTCAACATCAACAAAAAAATCACAAGATAAAATAATTTATGCTCACTTAACTAATAAATTTATCAAAATATAAATTTTCATATATATGTATATCGCTTTTTATACATAAACCACCATAACATAGAATGATAACATTTATAATATCAATACATGCTTATAATCAAATCAACAAGCATACAAGGTAAATTAGAAAGTGGTTACCTCAAGTTCTTGACACGAGAACTAAAATGGGAAGATTCAAAACCCAAGAGCCCAAACCAAGCTCACTCTACAATAGTAAATTTATAAACATATATTAATATAAAAAGACTAATTAATATAGCATTAAAATATTTTATTAATTAAATCCCCATAATTGGCTTACTTTAAAAGTTATCTTTAGGAAAAATGATAATTCATCTATTCCTCCAGGTAACAATTTCTAGTACTTCCCAACTTTATTTCTCTCAATCACATTATTAATAAGAATAATTCCTTCAAATCTTCAAAAAATCTCCGAAAAGGGCTTACTTTAACTCTTAGAAAAATAACCATATATCAACTATGTCTCCGATCATTATTACAATCCTATTCCCTTCTTCCATTAATCATTCCCCATTCATTAGAATTAATAACTTATAATATTTTTCCTAATTTATTCAAAACACCCAACTTCTACTAGTTAAAGTCTCTCCAAAAATCATCAACACTCCTATTTCAACAAAAATCCTCAAAGTTCAAGCATTGAATCCTCAATATAACATCAAATAAACTCAACTAAGAGATGAATTTTGAAATTAATATCATCATTAACACAAATCATAATTTTTCAACCAAACCCTAACCTACATTACCTCAAATCAATCATCCAAATAAAAATCTAAGTCATAAGATTCTTATTTTAACCCCATAAGCTCTATTAATATCCTAATAATAAGTTAGAAACCTCAAAAATTAAAAATCTAACAAGCCCTAATAAACTTTATTTTTCTGCCATAGACTTGGAAAATAAATAGAAGAAGTTAATTAGAAAAAGTAGGAAGAAAATAGCTTACCTAGATGACTTAGGTGACACCAAATAAGACCCTTTTCTCTATCACACTCTCCACCTCTCTCTCACCGTCACTCTCTCTTGCCACCAACCAGAGGAACAGCGAAGACGAAGCAGAAAAGGGGAGGGGAAACGTTTGAAAGTGGGGTACACGTGACCCCCCACTTGAAATGCCCTACCATTTTTTTTTTAAGGAGGCCACGGCCCAAAATTAGGGGGATTACCCCCCTTCCAACTTCAGGCAGTGGGTGGCCACATGGCACCCACTTGTCTTTTTTATTTTTTAAATTTTTTATATAATAAATAAATTTTTTAATATAATTTTTTATTTTTTATTTATTTTTTATAATTTATATGTATATCACAAAAATTATGATTTACAGTTTATTCAATAAGATTTAATTTTAAATATTATGAATTAATCTCATACCTATATAACTTAAATCCTATAATAAGATAAAAAAAAAATGGAATGTTACAATATGTGTTGCCTTTTCTAAAATATTCTTATTAATTATATGTATTAGTTAAG